CATTTAAATGAGGAGAAAACTAAAAACAGAGTATCTGCTCAAAAGATTACTTAACATAATCACAAACATCAAGTCTTTGTTAACATATTAGGCTGATGAATGCGCAAGATCATTTTTCAGACTGTGAAACGCTATTTTTCATATATCGTCAAATATTATTTTAATTAAGACCTATTTTACTATTAATAATATTAATAATATAAATAATATGACTGCCTAATAACATTTAACCCCATTTTAGACTTTAAATCCATAAAACTGACCAATCCACCAATGACAAATTCTTCAATAGATCCAAAACATACGTTTCTTAAGCTTTGAATTCCTCCATGGCCATGCCACCCATTATGTGATGCTTACTGGGAATTTGTATAAGTATTGAGTAGGCGTAGTTTATTTCATGGTGGTGTAAAACCATGTGTTTCTATGAAGTTTACAAGATGCATCAAAGATTTAAATTGTGTGAAAGTCAATACATCAATAAAAAATGAATAATCATATGTTTGTGAAGATGACAATCTCACACACAAGACGCAATCAGCACAGCACATGTGAGGCTATGAATCAGGAGATATGGCATTGCTGTAAACATTTGCACCACTAAACAAATATAAATCACTTAATAGAAATAAGTTCATTTAAAAAATATTACATAGTCATGTAATTAAATTGATGGTATGTGTTGTCTCTCCCTGGAGAATTACTTTGTTCCATCAGATTCTCATCTATCCCTGACCAGTGGCAGTTTTTGTCATTGGTGTCAGCTTGTACTAGATCGCTCTTGTCCAAGAACTTCGAGTTCTTTGTGAAAGTTCCAGTACTCCCAATTTCTTCACCATCAAACAGTTCTCTTCATTCTGGTATTTGCTGTTTTTGCCAACATTCTGCAGGTGGTCAGGATGCCTGAGTCTCATCCGATTTCTGTGCATCTGCATTCACATCCTGCTGTTTTGTGTTGCAAAGTGGCGCACACCATCTCTTTTTCCTGACTGCCCCTCCATCTTCTCCATCCTCCAACTTCTCAGTCTGTGCTTTTCTGTAATGTTATCTCTAAATTGATTTGAAATCTCTTTAGGCTTCATGATTGAATCTTTGTTTGAAGTTTACTACCTGACTGAAGGAGCTTACAGAGACCTGTAATCATGCTCAACACTGTCATTGCACATAGAGGCAATTAAGATCATTCTGCCGCAGAAAAGGCTTTGAATATTTACTACAGCAGCATTTTATATTACTTATATCAGTCATTTTTTCATTTATGCTTATTATTTACTCTGTTCTTTTTGTTTGCTTTGAATGCATGGAGTACTTTGTACAGTATGTAGCAAAAAATTAATCACTAAATGAAAAGTGCAAGCTTTATAGCTACAACGCTTGAAAACTGTGCAAGGGTCTGAATACTTTTGCAACGCACTGTAAACTATATTAGGATGCAGATGAAGGGTTTCTACATGGATTTAATTGGATGAGCTAGGTGTTCTAATGTAAATTATTCAATACTGACCACCTTTGAAACAGATCTCGGAAGTAGGCTGAGACCTCTGAGAAAAACCAGGGGCTCAGCGCTCTTCCCTCTAGACCGGAATTTCCAAACCAACACTCCAGTGTGGTGACTAGTGACACTGTGCTGTAGGATGTGCCATTCTTCAAATGAAATTTGCTAAATGAAGGTTCTGATGACTTGGTCTTTAATATCCTATGAAGCTGTCCGAAAGTGTACTTATGTTAACCTCGGTGTCTTGGGCCTGCACCATCTGACCTTTCTAAAGGTCTTGGTTAAATCAGTTGATAAAGTAATTTCTCATGTCTCCACCTTATCTGCTGTGTAGTAGGCCTGCCGGTGTAGAATGGTAATTAGTACTGCCCTTCAATACTGTATGAGGCTGTTTCTCCTGCTGCATAAAGCACTTTGGGAGCCTTTGAGATTAAAAGCATTTTTAAATACATTTTTTTTCATTGAGTTTTAGTGTGTACTTTGTGCAAGCACAGATGAAAACAAAGTTCCTGTAATGTGCTGGCTTCTTCTTTTCTTGCATCACAGAATTTGGCCTTAAATTAAAGTGTTTTAAGGAGCATCAGTCCTACTCCTATTTTGATCGTGTACATTTTAGCCTGAGCACCGATTTGATCTCAAGTGAGCTGAGGATGTCCTGAATTTACAGCTTGTACATTTTCTTAAATCTGGAAAGTCATACCATGCTACTCCAGTGGAAAATCCTATAATCTCTGTGTCATTTGTAAAACTAAGGAAAAGTAATTTTCCTTGATTGTGTAGATTGTGGTTTTATGGTGAACTTTCAAGTAAGTGATTCTTGCTGGAAAACAAGACTTTGATTTGTTTTGCACCAAATGCAGATGCTATTGATTATTTGTACAAACGGGCAGGATAGTGCAGCGTGGTTAACACTGAAGACCTCTGGCCAGACTGTCTTTAGTCTAGTGCCTTTAAAGGATAGTGGTTTGACATCTTTTTCTCTGCAAGTATCTAGTTGGTACAGCTCCCTTCTTAAGTTTAATGCAGAATTATGAAGGCGTAACTCTACCCCTCTATCATCCCTTTCTCTAGTGACCAGCTATATTCAAGCCATCCCATTTCTTATTTTAACTGCAGTTATTAAAATGGATCTTATTAAAAAATTAATCTGTATTTGCATTCAGCCCCTTGCAATTCATTAATATTATGACATTTACCACCAGCTCTGCAGGTCTGCTGTCAGCTACCCTTTTCCTTCGGCAAAATGTTAATTTAAAGTTCTGTCTTGTAATGGAATAAGAAATCCTCTCTGCCCTATCAATTCGCAGTGTCTGGCAAGGAATACTAATTCCAAGCCTACCTGGATGTACAAGACTTTTCTGGGAATGAAACACCAAATTGTTTGAAAGTCTTGAAAGCTGTCTGTTGGACGTTAAACTGAACGGGTTCAGTGCCCCTGAAATTTGCTTCCCTGGAGTTAGAAGGTTCATTTTTCAGATACTGTCCTTTAGAACCACTTACAAGGCTAAAAATGTCCCTGATAGTTAGTGAAAACCACAGAGTACACAGACCACATGACTTTGTACCCTTTATAATGAGTGTTTTCAATAAAAATAAATTATTTTATTTAATGATTCATTTTTTTCTAAACATGTATGTGCTACTCATAAAATCCCGAATTTTCTGTGTATTCTTTCTGCATATTCTGTGTGTCTAAATATAAAGGTTAATAAGCAAAAAATACTGTAGTTCCTCCTGGTTGGATTTACCGGAATCATTTTAATTGAGGAAAATTGCAGATAGAAGCTTAGGCTTCCAATTGAAGAAACCCGAGTTCAAGATACAGATGTATAGGATGCCTCATAAAAACCATGTGTGAATGTCCCAATCATGGAAGCCTGTAGGATCATATTTAAGGATCAGAGGAAAGCTAACAATACAAGCTGTTGTAAAGTCCTTTGGTAAACCTCGAATACTGGACTTTTTTGTGCAGACATTTGGGAACTTGTTTCAATGGATTATAAAGGACCCCGTAAAAAGAAAATGTGGATTTCATTTCATACAGTGGTCCACCACTTATTCACTACTTGTACAGTATATCCACGCTGAGATGTTAAGAATCAATCATGTGAAGGTACATGACTGATATAAAAGTATCAGGCATGGTTTTTGTACAACAGTACAATGATGATGATGATACTGTGCTTAAAAGTTTGCAGTACTTTCCATTTTAGATCTTGGTTAACTTCGGGCACTAGTTTATTTTCTTTTCATGTTTGTAATACATATTTTGCATTTGTGCGCTGCAGTACCATCCTCAGAGGTTCTTGGTTTCTATGAAGATGTCTTTCAATAAGTGGTAAAGGTAAAACGACCTATAAAAGTTCTATCAGAACTGTGACACATCCAGGAGTTGTGGTGCCATAGCTACCAGTGTTTTACACAAGTAGGCCCAGGAAGTAAAAAGAGTACTCCTTCTGTTTATAGTGCAGGGAAATGCAAACCAAAACAGAATCTAGCCCTTCATTGAGCTACTATCTAGACGTCTTCATAGTCAGTCACTGTCTGTAGCAAGGCTGCAAAGATGCTTACCAGCTTTTAAAACATTGTTGTTCCTCATTAGATTTCTTAAGTTCATGGGTCACCTTGACCCATCATCTTCTCAGAAGTTGTCTGAAGGCAGCAGAAGGTTCCCCATAGCATTCTCCATATTGTCAGGACTTTGCACTACCTCGAAGAACATTGAGGTCATTTTTAAGCTGCTACAGTTATGTCTTCATGTTAAATTTCTAGGTTTTTCCACAGCTTCTAGTAGTTGCTAAAGGCAGTTCAAATCAAGTCCAAATGCCAGTTTCTAGATGAGTAAAATCTGATCTGTGTTTATTCTAAGGATGAGTTCAAAAATACCTCCTAGAAAACTGAAAAAGGAACATGCAGGAGCTACCAAGTGTTTGATCGTCCACTGTTTTAATGCTTTACTCTGATGTGAATTTGTTGAACATGTGCTGGCAAAATGCTTCATATTCTCCGGATTCACGACGCAATCACAATATTTTATTATTGTGTTTTGGAGAGCAATTCATTGTGGTCTAACATTACACTCCTTGAGCACCAAATGCTACAAGCTCTAATTTTATCCTGTCAACAAAGGCTCAAGATTCATGTTCACAATATTGTCTAAGTGCTGTTCACATGGGTCAAATGCTGGTATATAAGCCACTTTGCTCCATGAGATACTGGATCATTTAAAAGTCTCAGATCAGGCATTAATTGTTTGCTAATTTTGCCGGAATTGGCTATCCATACTGGCAGAGATATTGCTGGGTCCTGCCAGCATGTGAACATTTATTTCCAAAATGAACACATCTAGTTAGATTTGAAATCATGTGTAGACATCAGAACACCAAAACCTACTGATTTTAAATTGCTGCCAATATAAGGAGGCTTATGTTATTCTTAAATTTGAACATGAAAGACTAATTTTCCTGCAGTAATGCTTTCCATCTTGTGTGTCTTCCTTTGGCAGGTTGCTGACAATGTGCACAAGGCATTTTGGCAGTGTGGTGGCACAGACCATCCGAACTTACAAGACAGACCAATTTCCCCTCTTCCTCATTGTGATGGGCAAACGGGCATCAAACGAAGTGCTAAATGTCATTCAAGGTAATATTTCCCAGGACCTGGGAAACACAATTGGATAGGAATACATTTATGGGGAACAAAAATGGGACTGAGTCTTGGACTTTGACGTAGAGCCTACAGGAACACATATCAAATTATTGTAAACCTGTTTAAATATTATTAATAAATTGGATGTACAGATGGATTTATATTTTTTTCTTTCTAAATACTTAAGGGCTTGTATTATTTTTTAAAAATCTAATTAGATATTTTCATTAAAACTTTTACTTCTTTCTGCCCTTCTCCTTCCTAATAACTCCATAGTGATTAATTCTGAAATTAGTGCCGTCTATCCAGATTTTTTTCCCCTTCCACTCTTTAATAACTTGTTGGTGAGTCGATGTCTCTGTGTTGCTAGGGAACACGACAGTGGATGAACTGATGATGAGGCTAATGGGGGCGATGGAGATCTTTACAGCTCAGCAGCAAGAGGATATCAGAGATGAGGTGAGGGGCCGCAGCCTGGAGGGGTGAGGGGGTCCTGTCCAAGGACATGAAGCTGATTCCCATGTCTGATTCTTATCGTCTTGAGTTTCATGTTGTAAAGTGTTTTCATTTAGTTTTCTACTATATATCAGCATTTAATAGACTTCCGGAACTAATAGGTATGTCACAAAACCATGTAAAAATGAGCAGCTTTGACAGATAATGTATAAATTTGTCCTGTGTCATGTACTGTATTCAAAAACATGTAGCACAAAAGGCAGCAGGCACAAACATTCCATTGTGTAGCAGCCTCTTGTGTTGCACAGGCAGATACTCATGCACAAAGCTGATATTTGTAGCAGATACGAGATGCTTTATTAAACTGTTACATTGTTTCAACGAGAAATAGAGAAGTGAGACCAACATCATTTTTCATATGCTGAGACAAGTGTCACTTGCTAAGAATTTGTGCTTCTTGCGCAGAAAGTCTGTATGCAAGTAAAAATAGATACATAATCTAACTGTGGTTACTGCTGAAGTAACTGACTGAGCAGTGTGATTGTGAAGGGTCAAGGAGGACCGTAGCCAAACATTGAGGATAGAAAGGGAAAACATTTCAACAACATGTGACCATAGTTCAGTCTGTTTTACTACCCATGAGAAAAAATGTGGAATACCTTATTATAATTCAGCAATCTTTCTTACACACTGCACAAGACCTGGATGTGTAGTAAATCTAGAGAAGCACCTGTGATTATTCTGTCATATGTCTGACTTAGTTATGCTGTTTCCTGTTTTAATGAGCACCATAAATGCATGTTATTCAACTGTAATCCTACACTTAGATATTTTTACCCTTTAGGTTACTTTGAAGGCCACTTTTCAATTGGATAAAACTATCCTGATAGGTTGAACAAACTCTTGGGTAATTTAATGAAGTGGACTGATCTAAGATTTGCAGTTAATGGTCTATTTAGGTCTGAGGTCTATGGTTATGAAGTTTAAAAGTAGCCATGGAACTTGTGGATATGTTTATCTTCCGACCATACAGTAGGTCACCAGGCTGGGTGTATGTCTTTTTTCTTGAGAGGATCATTTGACATTTTGCTTCCATTGGTGTGCTATTCACCATCAGCAATGTCAACCACTTTACAGCATTTTTAGTCCACAGACCATTATCTTTACAGATAATTACTAAGCAATCTGAACTTCAGCCCTAAAGGGATTGCGTTTTGAAAGGGCAAGAGTGCCTTTTTGCCATGTCTAGCTGGCCTGTGCTGACTTTTCTAACATAAAGCCATGCATGTTGGAACAAATCAGACTTGGTAAACTTTGTGTTTTACAAAATGTAAAAGCGGGAAAAAACAAAAGGCAAGTTTTCCTTAAAGGTTATTGTTCATACAATAAAAAAGACGGAGCTGGCTTTTGTTTGAGAAGGGGGCATGAGTTGGTTTTTTTTCTTGAAGTCTTGACAATACAAACAGGATCCAAATTCCGGTTCCTTTACCTCTTTTTCTCTAAAGCTGCTTTAAACCAACAGAAACAGCAAACATCTAACAATCCCAGAGCTCCTGCTTCATTTATAAGAACTGAAATGTAAAATAGAGACTGTATATCTTTCATGTAAATACAGGAATCCTGCAGATTAGCTTGGAGAATAGGGGAGTTTCCTGTGAGGGAAAGATGTGGATGAAAAAGAATCAATTCCATACAAAGAAAGTTAACTGTTTGTTTCCTTTTTGTATAGCAGAATGAACAGAGGCTTCTCTCCAAACTGACATTTGGGATTCCTGATCGGAATACCTTTAGACTATTAATTCATTAATCATTTAAGAGGTTCAGTAGCTCTGGGAAATGCAGAGTGTCAGTGGGAAGAGCAGTGACTTGAACCTTGAACCATAAGCCTTTTGCCTTAACTGCTAGACCACCTAGCCTTCTACAAAAAGTAGTAGCACACTGACTGCCCCTATATATGAGGAAGGATTTTAATCCATTGAAATGCTGGGATAGGTACTTGACTCCATGCTGTCATATCCTAAGGGTAACTCAGTTCCCTAGCAGCAGTCAGTTTTTAGGTATTGAGGATTTTCTCTGTTCACGTATCATTTTTGCAATACGATCAAATTCTAAAATTCCCCTGGTGCTAGTAATTGAAAACATATCACATAAATCAGTGCATTAAGCTTAGAACAGTGCTCCTCAAATTCATTAAATGGGGTCAGCAATCAAGAAAGTTTTATATCATCTAAGACCTGTACAAGAAGGCTAAATTAAGCCTGAGGTACTTTAACCCTCTTCCTGAGATACTGTGCTGTTTGTGCTGATGTAGAGACTAAAAACAGTTCAAATCAAATACTCTGTTTAAAATAAATTTATAACTTACAAACCTAACATAATTTGGAGGTATATTCATTCCTTAGGTTACACTTTGTCAATATGAGGTAATATTTCCAGTAACTTCTTTGCTACTTATATGTAATTTTAAAGTAACCGTAAATGAAAATGGTAGATTTCAAGATCAAGTTCAACATAGAAATGTCTACAAAATGTTACATTTTCCTTAGTTGTACTGTAATTTGAAGATATTTTTATTACTTGTGGTTAGCTGTACCCCAGTGAAGTAATATTTCAGATAAACAGCTGTGGGTTTAGAGAATTTGTTGCTTGGTGATTAAATAAATCATAACAAATCAGTCAGTATAAAAGGTTCTTAAATTAAGCCCAGCCTCAGAAATCTCTATCAAAATGGCATGATGTATTATTACTTAGTGGTTGAATATACTGTATGTTTCTAGAATGTTACAGAAACATGAGTAATTCAGAGGAGTTGTCCCTTGGAATACAGCAAGATTGAGCTGGGAGGTTTAATGACAGATAATAATACGCTCTGTGAATTCCTTATTAAACCTCTCATCATATTTAATATTTAATATTTAACAACAGTTTGACCAAAGTGGTTTGGAAAGGTTTTGTCCAGGAGAGACCTGATTAGTTTATCAAAGAGTCTTGCTACTGCACTTTTTTACTGACTAGTTTCTGCGTTTTCCATTGTTGGTTTTTTGGTAAATTTATAAAGTGGACATTAGTTTCGAATCGCAATGGTTCATAAGTGCATAGCAACAGGAATAAAGCTAAGTGGTTTATTTGTTCTGGGTAATTACTACTGTAGTGCCCATCCACAAATAGAAGGCTGAATACCCTAGTAATTTCCCAATATGTCTGACTTCTGTTAACATGTAAACTAATGAAAACAATTGTAAAACTAAACCGAGATATCCCCTATATGGAAATATTATAGGAATGAAAAAAGTTTTACAAAAAACTGCTAAGTCACAACAGTAATGGATATATTTAGATCTTGTGATATGATATAGTTTGATTTTTAGAAAGCTTTTGATAAAGTTTCCCATAATTTAGTCCTCAAATTGCACATGGTTGGCATACAGGGAAAGGCCTGTGTGTAGATTCAGAGTTGATAATTAAATAGAACAAGGTACAGATAAGGGTTGAGTACACAAATTGGGGTGATGTAATTAGTGGATTACTGCAGGGATCTGTACTAGCACCACTTCTCTTCTTAATTTATATGGGTGAAAATTCCAATATAGCTAGCCAAGTTTGCAAATGATACCAAATTATCAGGATTATTAAACAGTGTAGGAGCAGTAAATGAAATTCAGAAAGATTTAAATACAATTCACAACACCTGGCAGTCTTTAAATATAGACAACGGGTCGAGTAGCTACCTCTCATTTGTAACAAATCTTCTACAAAGTATAAAGTTAATAATATGTAGTGTACATAAAGTTCCGTAGTGTACAGAAAACTGCATGTAACAGCCTTAGGCAAAATGTCCTATGAAGCCTTATCAACACGAGCTGATTGTTTTGTGAAAGGCATGCATGGCCTGTCTTCCAAGCACTTTTTTGCAGACCCCGATGCCAATGGAGCATGTCAACAGGTGAGTTTGAGGATTTCTGTTATTGTCTATGACAGAGAGGGGCTGGGTGGAATTGTGTGGTAGCTGCTCATCCTGAAATAACACGCATGTCTCAGTCAGCTGTCAGGCTGTGTTACATTGAGAAATGGTTTTAGCACCTGGGCCTCAGGTTTCGCTAGCTAGCCAGCTGTCCACCAGGCCACACAGCTGTTCATTTTGTGCTCAGTGAGAAGCCAGAACCTGAAGCCCTTTTCTGAATGGACCGCAGTTTGCTTTTCCCTTCACCATGTTACAGGACATTAATACATTTCTTTAGGCCTTAAAACAAAACACTCTGACAGGACCTGTTTCCTTTGTGTTCATCCAGTGCTTTTATTATTTTTCTCTTTCTGTGCATTAAAATTTTAGCTTTTAATTAGGTCATTTGTCTGCTGTTAATTTTTTTAACCTGTTGAATTAGACGTGAGGTCTTTGATAGCTTTAGATCGACTGTGTGGTTACATACATTAAGTAAACAAGCCATAACTCTTGTGGAGTCAGGGTACAGTTGAATACCTTGCTGAACCTACTGCTATTCTAAAGAATGTTTGTCAGTGTTTTGCGGGATGCTTGCTGAACTGAAATGAGTATCCCACATAATGTTCCTCCATTTGCAATAGGATTCTATAGTCATTAAACACATTTTCTTGGTATTACAGGTTTTAAAAGCAACAGAGTTATATATTGATGGTGTTTTCCCATGAAAATAAATTATCAATGGTAGTTTCAACTGTGTGATTAGTTTTTTGCAGCATTATCACCTTGGACCTGGTCTCATCAGATCAACATTGCAGGGTGCTGAGATAGAGAGCTCTAAGGATGAAAATAAGTTGCTGATCTAAATGGTATTGGTCAACCAGTAGGTGGCGCTCTTTCCTCTGCACTAGAATTCCCAAATTAATACTCAGTATGCTGACCAGGGACACTATGCTCTATGAGATACCATCCTTTGGTATGTACTAAAGCCCTAAAAACATGGACATGAAGGATCACATAGCACTGTTTGAAATAGGGCTTGAACAATCTGGTCCACCTAAAGTCC